TTCACTGTTATTATTCATTTTCACTAAAAAAATAAAATCTATTTGAAATAAGAAAATTCCTTTTTTTTTTATTCATATGGTGTCTCACTTAGATAAGTAATTGCTTGTTATTTAATAGCTTAGAGCATTGCCTTCCAATTGAAAAAAAAAAAAAAAAGCCCACATGAAGGGAAAAAAAATTATATTTATTTTAACTTCATTTCGTTTGTCAAATCCAAGAAACAAAATGAACTAATAAAAAAAAAATTTGAAGGTAGCAAAAAAATAACAAGCCAGGAAAGATAATGTAAGCACTTTTTTTTAAAACATAAAAATCAAAAGGTTTCAAGAACCTATACAAATCCTGAAATTACAAATTATACAATTTTCCAATTAATTATAGTAATTAGAAATAAATTTATATTTTTACAAAAAAAACAATCAAGTTAAAAAGACAATGCACGCACAACTGCTTGACTCAGCATCAGTGGAAGAAGTTGATATACTTTGAATGTAGTGGTTATTTGCAATAATAAGCAATTTTCACCACTACCAATCTAAAAGCTAATAAGTTTCTCTTTTTTATTTCAGAGATTGGTTGAATAGTTCTTTAAAAATGAATAAAAATATTTTATTATTTAGACGAATTCTTTAAACGATTTCCATCAAGTTTTCTTTTTTGTCATTAAAACTAAGAAATATAATATAAATAATTTTTCAATATATGAGTAAAAACCTTTTTGATTCAAACAGCCGTATTGAAAAATATGCAAAAAAGTCAATGGCCACCACCCAAGAATCTCTCAAAACAAAGTAATTAGAGAAAGTCTATGCCAGATACCTTGAATTATTCAATAGTGAGGTTATTTTGTGCACTGAACTTCAAGGAAAGTTCTTGAGATTGCAATGTATATTAGTTAGTATAAGTAGCACTGTTGTATTTTTTATTAAATAAGCATGTTTGGTTATTTTTTTTTTTTTACTAAAATAGTTAGCTTAAAATAAGATTTCTAATTTTTATAAAAAGAAGCTCTCGCATTGGATGGACAACAGATAATTACTTTAAGTGTTTGTCTAATCAGACAGATACTGTTTTTATTGTTTCTTAACACTTGTTGATAAAAGATATGAATTTAAATTTTGGTTCAGCAATTACTACAAAAATAAAATAAATGTGGGTTAGTAAGTACAAAAACTAAGCCTACATGATTTCTTGTCATTTGTTTATTTTTTTGTGATATAACTTTTGATGATATAGCATTATTCAACAATATAATACCTTTTAAAAAGATAAATTAAGTAGTCACTTTAATAGATGAAGAGAAATAGCACTTGATAGTTTTCAGAACTTGTTTAGATTTTTTTTTCTTCAAAATTTTAAAGCAGCAAAGTTATGCGATCTTAAACTACATTTAACTGTCATTTAAAATTACACATCTGTCATTTTTTTAGATTTTTAGTAAATTTATGTTTTTACAATTTAAAATGATGAAAACTGATTGGGGGGAGGGAGGAGAGGAGAAAGCTTTAACATTAATTAGACAAAAACAAAGATATTTTAAAAAAATCCAAAAACAAACAAATGTATACTATTGAACTATCTTTTAAAAACTGCAGGCAGCTGAATTGTACTGGTGTAATTAATCGTCATAAAAAATTATTAGAGAATTTAAAATACTGCACACTTTATAACTAAAATTCTGATTAAATGAAGACCTTGCATTTTAAATGGGTGGAAACATACTGCTGAATAGAGAAAATATTCAACATCATTTTATTTATGAAAATTTAATAAAAAAGGATTAAAAACAAATTTTAAATTTTTCTTCCCCTTCTACATCCCTTCAATATTTCAAATATATATTATATGTTGCAAATATTTATCATCCCGAGAAAACTCGAGCTTAGCAGAATTTGTCAGTACAATTTTATTTTTATCACATTTTTACTCAGTCGGAGGCAAAAAACATTATCTGCCGTAATTGGAAGTCTGCCAAGTTTTATTTGGGAGTTTAGATGTTGGACTGTGGGACTACACATATGTTTTGTGCGATGGTTTTGCTGAATTTACACAGCAATAAGAGTAATTAAAAAAAATGCCATATTCCTTCACTGATGTATGAAAAGTATCACTTTGTGTTGTCCCTTGTTTTAAGAACTATCATACAAAGACTAATATTTAACTTTTTTCATTTGCCCGAAATAACTTTGGATAGTAAACTGATTTTAAATTAAAGGTTTCTTACATATAAAAATAAATTCAAATTTCAACTTAAAACCTGTGCAATATGTTTTATTTTAGTTTCTTGTATTTATCAATAAAATAAAAAAATTTAATAATTTTTTGCATTTTTTTTCTTCAAAATAATTCAAAATATAATAGGTAAATGAAGAGGTTAAATAAAGAGAGTTTTTTTTTTTGTCAATTTTCACTATAAGAATAGTTTAAACACATTTTCATAGTCACAACAAAAATTTGAATAATCAACGCTTAAATATAATTTATTATTATGCACATGATTACAAGCCTTTATTTTGAAAATTCGTCGAAATAAATGTATAGGCCTGTTTAGAATATGTATAAAAAGCATGTATAAAATTGGATAATTTGAGAAAGAAAAAAAAACTATCTAGCCTACAGATCTATTGATTCATTCAATAAACTTTGAAAATGGCATTAGATAATGTAAAAGGACTTTTTTTTTAATAAGACTTACACATTGCAAGCAATGTTATCAAAGATTTTTCAATACATATAACTCTTCAACATATACAATTTTTTAATATATATTTAGATTAAACAATTAAAAAAGGAAACTTGTGTAATTTATTGTTTGCTTAACTTCTTTTTTGCTAATCTAAGTTAATTAAATTGTCTCCAGCCACCATTGATTGTCGAGTCTAACATGGATTTCTGTCTGAATCACTATGGAAGCTGATGAACCCAGAAGACTACTGAAGATAAAGTACGATGGTAGCCTAGACCAGCGACTCCAAATTTTTTGTTGTTGTAGTTATGAAACCTTAAATGATCGAGCTTCTTTTGGTAGAAAAAAAGTTCATTATGCATTATAAAAAAAATTCATTATCAGCTGGGAATATACTAAATGAGAAAAAAAAGCAGTGAAAACATTTAATGTAGAGAATTAAATATTTAATATTATGAGTTTATTCTTGATGTAAGCATATGCTGAAAATGTATAAAATAAACTGAGTTGAAGTTTACAAAAAAAAAGAACTGTTATAAGCATTGAGAATAGTAAAATATAGTTCTTTATTCTTGAATTTATTTATTTTATTTTGAACTGAAAAGCTTGATGAGAAATTTTTATTGAATTATTTATAAATGCATATATCCTTTTCATAATTTGTTTAATATACTGCATTAAAAAAAATTACTTAATGCTTTTTTTTTTTTTTGGTATTTTACCTAAATAAGTTGATATGAAGCACCAAAATAGTAAATAAATTATGGATTACACTGGGAAACAAATATTTGTTTGTTTTTTGTTGCACGAGATTTTTTTTAACAGATCTTAGATGCTTTCGTACAGCTGATTTCAAATCTGCAGTTGGTTTCTGTCTGCAAGCATCAGTTCTTTTAAAATGATATTTTAATCTATTTTTTGCCAAAATGCACAAGTTTAAAAACGTTACATATAACATGGGGGTCGTGCAAATGTTCCGACCGACTTCTAAGGAAGTTACAATACACCATCAAGATCTTCAGATCAAGCAACCAATACTCAGAAATGTCATTTGCTGCTAGGGGAGCTTACCTATTATGAATTGTTTCTTCTTGTGCTTTTGAGCAAGTCATACTAGGAAAGCGCCCCCAGCCCAGTACGAAAATATTTTAGAGAATGGGAAAAAGTGTAATTTTAATCTTGATTATGTGCTTTAACCCCTCTGGAAGATTGTCGCGACATTTACATGACCCCCCCCCCCTATTATATGAAGCATTTTCAAACTTGTACATTTCAACAGAAAATAAACAAAAATATCATTTAAAAAAAATATCTGTAGCCTTAGAACTAAACTAGTTTCAGATTTGAAATCCACACCCTGTAATTAGTCAATACCAAATATTTTTATAAATACAAAAAAAAAATTTCCCCAGCGATATTAATTGGATATAAATATAATTATTTCTAGTTATAAATTTTTTTTTTCAAAACCCTTCCAATGAAAGGGTTTTGTGGATACCGCTGGTCTAGAAGTCATGAGTCCACTTTCAAGAAGCTTCCCAAAAAGGTAGATCAAAATATGAATAGTTTTCAGAAGAAAAAAAATGAATGGTAAAAAGTTATTAGTAAAAAATATAGCATATAAAAAAAATTTTAGCATTGAAAAAAGTTTTTGATACTTAATAATAATGATTAATTGTAACGTTTCCTTATTATAGCTGCATTTGGCAGGAATTAAAATAATATATTAATATAAAAAACTTGGAGAAAAAAATAAATACAGCTTTTTTTTTAAATCTCAGCATTAAAAAAAGGTATTTAATATAATATGAAATTTACTTTAGGCTATCACATGACCAGCTTAGAATGGGCTTGTATTCATTTAGGACTTTGAAAGCAACAAATGATCCACAGATAATGGAACTTGCAAAAACATAGGTTAAACAGTACAACTAATATTATTACAGTAAGAAGTGTATATATCATTATTCTATAAACTGCAATTATCTATAAATTGCATCTACTAAACAATCTCAAAAATACAAGGATTTTACTTCTCATGATTTTGATAATTTCAATTTTTTTCAGTGGTAATAAACACTTAAGCACTTATTTTTATTTAATAATTATTTTAAAGCATTAATATTGATCTGTTTCATATAGATATTGCCATGTTCAGTAGCTAAATTTAATGATATGTGAAATGATGTATATCACATTGCGTTAAACTGCATTCTTTTTGAAAAAGAAACAAATACAATATTACATAAAATAAGCAATGAATAAAATTAAGAATTGTTTATCAAAAAATATCACTTAAAACAAAGAAGTAAGTAATGGCAAAAGAGTAAAGCTTCTGAATTATTAAATTGGGAGAAGTATTGGCACCTATGAAAAGTGACTGTATTAATTCATTTTGTATAAAATATGAGGCACATTAGCAAAAGCATTTTTTTGGGGTGGTGGAGGAATGGACTAGTCCTTCCGTTGTGCCCATTTCAGATCGTCAGTCCGGGGCTTGCAGTGGAAGATCCCTTGGATGACGTTCTCAAGGAAGGACCAGAAGTTGAGTTTCTCAAGGGGATAGTTCAGCCAGCCTGTGGTGATGCAGAAGTATGTCTCATGGGGTGCGACGTGGTGGATGCGATGATGGCGTCGAGGCAGGATGATGTGGAAGTTTTGAAGCAATGTAACCCAGTATGGTATGCCAAAGTATGTATGAGACCATTTATGGATCTGAAAAAGAAGCACATTGTTTTAAGGATATGTTGATATTTAAATCAGCTTGTAAATATAAACATATATGCTTATGCTAGTGGAGATGGCTCAGGGGATAGAGCGTTCACCTTCCAATGAGGTGAACCGGGTTCGAATCCCAGCGATGGCTGGTCAGTATGAATCTGCATTCAGTCTTGCATGATACTGAGATGAAATATTCTCAATGGTAGACAGATCATGGGTTAGAGTCCCTTTGCCGCCAGGCTAACTATGGGAAGTTTTTGTGGTCTTCCTCTCCATATAACGCAAATGCAGGTTATTTCCATCAAAAAGTCCTCCACAAAGACAAATTTCTCTGAATATTTGATCTAGGAGTTCCCTTGTCCTCTGGGTTGGGTTCAAAATTACAAGACTATGGAGTTGAACATTAGTAGAAACCCAAAAAATTGGGTGGGCTGTTCAATGACGGTTACAAAATAAAATATATGCTTATATGTATGTATGTATGTATGTATGTATGTATGTATGTATATATATATATATTTGAAAATCACTATCAAATGCTATGTCAGNATACATTTCCATGTATAATACAGATGCTGAGCAGATCTTTGATCATTTACCTGAGAAATATATACATAGAAAGCACATACGGGGTTCATATTTTATAGAGAGGAATTTTAAGCAACGGTATGATATTTTGACTTATATGATATTCCCATCTTCCGTCTTAATAGCTACTGTATATTTTAAAAATTAATTTCGCAAAACATTAGTCATTTTTCAACAGAATTATAATTTATCACATACATCAAAATAGATTTGGCACAATATTTTCATTAGAAAAGTTTTAATTTATCAATTTTGAGGAACAATCATTATTTCTTCTATTTCAAGTATATTAAGAATTTCACGACATTTTTTTTTCCTTATACTTTTGCCTACATTTAATGGTAACTAAAAGTCAATTTAATTGCTATCAAAATCTGAGCATTTTTAATCTCTGAAATTAAGTGTATTGCATTTTATGGTAAAACTCTCTTCCTCCCTCTCTCCCTCTCTCTGTATATATATATATATATATATATATATAATGATTTTTCAGAATACAAATAAGAATTAAGTGAGAATTTAATTCAGTTAATGAATATAAACTTTCAAATTTTTTTAAAAAAACGCTATAAAATTGATTATTTTTTCTGTAATGATACATTTTTGTAATGTGAAACATTTTTCTTTTACTTTTAACAAATTGAATCATACCTTTTATCATTTTATTGTATTACTATTAAGTACTTTTTAATACTGTAATGCAGTATAGAATGAATTAATATGATAGATTTAAGAAAATATTTCAATTATAATTATGTTGATAAAGTTTGACTTTGTATAAATTATATGAGACCATTTGTGTATCCGAAAAAAACTAAAATTTGCGCAGTAACATAACATTTCAGAAACATAATTGTTAAAATATAAACAAAACAATAAACATATTTAAAAAGTTTGACTTCGTCATTTCATTTGTGTATCTGGAAAAAAAAAAGCTGAATTTTATGTAGTAACATAAAACTTAAGAAACACGATTTCTAAAATATAAATAAAACAATAATTAAAAATTATAATAAAAATTATGAATTAAAATAAAATTATAATAAATAAAATATAAACTAAATTAATATTTTTTTTTATAAACTCATTCAGTTATTTCTTTTTAACTTACATACCCTCCAACTGCTACGGAATTTCAGTAGTTTCAGAAATCTTCTTTTCAGACGGTAGCAAAATTAATGTCTTAATATTTAAAAAAAATTAAATTTAGCGTAACTTGTCCACTATTACTTATAAAAGTGCAGGCCATAAGGCTAGATTCTTAAGTTCTGATAAAAGTTTTATGAGAGATCCATTTGCTTTAAAAATTTCTACTTTGGTTCGCTACCACTAGAAAGAATTATTTTCAAAATCCTCATAAGTTGGAGGGTATGAACTTACATGTTTTTTCTATAAGGTGTTTAAAAATGTCATTACTTATTGAACTCTTAATGGACAACTGGTCATTCTTACATTTTGCAATGTCGTGACATTTACTTTTAATCGAGCTTATGGCGAAAACATAACCCCATATTCGAACAAAAAAATTAGTAAATATTCATTTTAAAACCTGCTTTTTCTTTTCTCCAAGCAGGGTTTGTAACGTAACAGAACCGATTGAATCTATTTCCTTGCTTCGGAGAACAATTAAGGTGAGGCAAATATTTACATTGAAAATGAAACAGTCTCCGCCCCAATCCCTATGTTTATTGAAATCATGTCTTACAATGAGCCGATTATATTATTCAATATTGTTTAAAATTTTAATTTGGTTTATTATTTAATAAATAGAACTTCATATTTTTAACTAAGATGCTTCATAAATTTTAACAATTTTGAAACATTTAAAAAATGAATTTGTAAGTGACTCCTCAGCTTATCATTTGAAAAATTTAGTAATTATTAATTTTAAATTAGATTAATATAATTTTGAATTAACTTTACAAAGATATAAATTCAAATTTCTTAAGCAATTTACCTCCCTTATGCAACATTTTGTTTAATCCTATGAAAATAGAGTAAATAAGTATATGACCTTCAAATCCCTCTTATAACATTCCATGAAAATTTAATTAATCAAGTTTTTTTTAATAAATATTATTCAAGAGTTAGAAAAATTCGGGCTCCTGAATCCAGGATTGGGGTTTTGGACGTCTTAAACTGGTTTTGGATAGGACAAGTGGGTTTTACTGTCTTAAACTGGGTGAAACTGTCCAAAACCTTGATCTTTGGTAGAAGGTAAAAATTCTACAGGTGTAACCATTGTGCACATAATAATTACATGTATCAATAAACATTTGATATTTTTTATACAATTTACTTTAACTTATTAAAGGAAAATATTATAATATAATTGGAAAAGGTTCATAATTTTTGAAGCTCCACTGTTCATTGAACAACAAAAGTGAATACCTAATCCTTTAAATATAAATATGCTTCTAATACTGATATATAATGTTTTTGCATAAGGATAAATAATGCAATATTAAAAAAAATAATAATTTTTTTAAAAGAATACTAAATTTGTTTAAAAATTAACCTTTTATTTTTCACAATAATTTTTTTCAAATTTTATAATTTCTGCTTCACAGGATGATAAAAAAAAGACATCTATTTAAAAAAAATTGTTTTTAAAGATAAATATATTAGCTTAAATTGGAAATACAAAATAACTGAAAATGTATTAACAGATTTGAAGGACATAACAACAGTTTTAGTTACTGACACTGGTGATGTATCACCACTATGCTCAAAGAATAGAACAAGAATGAAATAAAAGTATTCTTGAATAGTACTATAGATAAATAAACCTGTTTATGATTAACCAAGCACTTAGTCCCTAATAGCTTAACTTGTATGGCAAGGTCAAACTTCAGTTATGTACTATTGAATGAGAGGACCAATTGAACTTGATTACTGATTAATAATCCTTTGTTTAATGTTTAAGTTGAAGAGTCAAACAATATTAATAAAACATTATACTTTTAAAAACAAATATTCTCTAGTAGATTTAATTATCAATATCTTATTAGTTCTACGTTCATTTTACCTTTTAAATATTGTTCAAATAAAATTGTAACATAATTTGAGTAAAAGGGTTTTGGACAGTTTAAGACAGTTTTGGACAAAGGGGTTTTGGACAGCACGGTTTAAACCGTGGATTAATCCATTCTGTCCTAAACCTTGCCAATCCTGCCTGAATCACTTGGTAGAACAGATTACTTCAATTACTCATGTACAATGAACAAAATAAAAAAGACATCATCCTGAATAACTTTTGCTCTAATAATCGGATTTTCACGTACTAAGTTCTTAATGGTTCCTGGGGTGAATTCAAATATTTTGTGTGCTAACTATTAATTTATAATGAAGTCAGACACAAAAACTCACTTTCTCTAAATAAAAATATTTTTTTTCTACATATTTGGATTTCTGAATTCAAAACTGCCATAATTTGGAAATAGTGGTCGTAATAATTTAGTTAGGAGAGCGGTTATAAGTTTGGTCCCCCCTAATATTTAATTACGTTTTTTGTCATGTCTCTAAAATTAATTGTGTAATTAAAAAAAAATTACATCCACTCATTTACTCAAAAATAATTTCATGCAAGAACTAATTTTTAATAATTATTTATTATTTGATTTAATACTGGACGAAAAAATTATTATTTTTTCAGTCAAAGAATACACGCCTTTATCTTACGTAAAATTAATTTTAATATCGTGTGAAATAATTTAATATACTGTGTTACTAAATGAATAATCCCAAAAAACTGAAGCAAAAAGATAAACTTCATAGATTTAAAAAATAATAGATAATAATAAAAGTAGACTCGTTTTGAACATCTAAAAATTAACATCACAAGTCATTCGTGCCAGGTGAGTCTCGAGAATGGCGCCTATTCTTGAACGCTTGAAACAGGGTCGATTTTTATTTCCATCTTCATATTTTTTGAAGTGAATAAAGTATTTATCATCAATTATACTGTTTTAAATTTGGGCCTTAATCATTATTTTGATAAGAATTTTATGGTTGTAAGAATAAACATATGCATTTTAATAATGTAACAGGATTCATCTGGTTCTTAAAAAAGTAAGAGAACCATAACATCAATATTGTAACTATAAAAGTTGAAAAAGAATTATTTGGAAGAAAAAAATATTTTTCAAATGGATATTTTAAAAAAAGAAAATAATCTTTTTTTCTATAGAAGTAATATATGTAATTGTGAGGAGGGCATTTATTAAATGATCATAATAAATAAGTAATTAAAATAAATTTAAATAACATCACAAATAAAAAGAAATATCCTAACTTGTGTCTCTATAATCCAAGATAGATTTGGTTAGGTTATTTCCAATAATCAATGTTCTACTGTAATTATTTTTTTTCCATCAACATTTAAAATATATTGCATCATTGCAGTTCAAAACATAGAGAAAATTGACCAGAAAACAAGTATGTTTTTATTTGCTACACAATCAATAAATTAAATATAGTAAAAAAAATAAGTGTCTTTTTCATAAATCAATTATGTCATGAAATAAAAATGTAATGTAATGAAAGTAGGTAACTAAAAAAAAAAAAAACATACTTGATTGGTCATGGCAACAAAAATGCCCAAGAGGAAGACAAAGCAATTCCAATGATAAAGCCGAAGAATCTTCTCTGCTGAATAACTAAAAAATTGATAAGCCATGTATCCTAGAAATGGTATGGTCACCATAAAATTATCTCCATTGGTCTCTATGAAGTCGTGCCTGGTGATGGCCGTTGGATCTATGTGATGCTCCCGAAATGGACGGATGAAAGCCTAAAAGTTAAAATTAATTAAGAATTAGCTTCTACAAAATCACAGAAATATAAGAACAAAGCATATTCACAGTCCTAGCAGCAAAGGGGGAAAAATAGAATTTATTCAAAAAAAATAGAGGACAATTTTTTAAATGACTGGGCACAAATAAAAGTTATAAGAGCCCCGTGGCAGAATTGCAGCGACATTGTCACAGAATGTTACAAAGTTTTTGCAGAAAGATTTTTCATTTGAGAAGGGAAAAATTTCGGTTTTTCTTTCTGTATTATTTCTCGAAAAATGATTTTTTTTTTATTTAATTTTTTTTTATTGCTGAAGTTTTTTTCCAAGATGACTTTCTTGAGCAGGAATGAAATTATTATAATTGTTCTATTCTCATTTGAAATTTAAAAAAAAAAAAAAAAATTCTGTAATGACTTGCTTTAGCTAGAATTTCAAACTAATAATCTAAAACAAAAAAGTGGGCTACTCAAATCAGGGTTCGAATTTCCTTGATTTTTCTAGGTAAAAATTCTTAAAATTTCCAAGTCATCATCTCTCTCTCTTTTTTTTTCTTACATAGGATTGGTACTTAACGGCCAAGAAAGTGTAAAATAAAATACTCTAACTTAAATAAGCTCTAAAAATACTCTAACTTAAATTACTACTTAAATAAAATATTCTAAAGTATTTTATTTAAAATTTAACTTTTTAAAAATATACTGAAAAAATAATCGAATTAAATTTATTTTAACAAGCAAGATTTTTTTAGTTATTAAATTTTTAATGTTTTGGTACATTTTAAAAAATTAGGATAGATTTGGAGAAAATAATATGTTCATCTTCTAGAATATATTGTTTTTATTGAATAAATATGTTTTAATGCATTACTATAAGTGATTTTTGCAAAAAGTGTACCAAATTGTAAATACAAAGTAACCCAAAAAATCTAGGACAATTACTGTTTAATACATTTTCATTAAGCTAAAGAAAATAATTGTAGGGGATTATACATCAATCCTTCTTTAAATTCTTTTCTGCTTTGAAATTTAAAAATTTATTTGCATTTAAATGTAGAACCATTTCATTGTATTTTGTACAAACAGTGTCTTCTTTACAAAATTCATTCATCATATTTTCTCATTATTAACCAATTCTTAAGTTAAATGATTAAAAAATGTCATTTGTTTTGAATTATGTAGCTTTATTATTTTAAGAGATATTCAGTATTTAAAAATGAATATCGCAAAGCAAAATTGTTGAATTTTTGTAGCATACTCCATAGAGAAAAGCTAGATAAAAAATTAAAATTTTTTTTATTTAAAATCAAAATATTTAAAGAATTTCAAGCTATCTAACCACTTGGTTTTTTAATTCAAGATTTGTAATTTTTTTTTTGTTTTTTTTGTTTCTGTTTCTACAACAAGAAACACATTAAAACAAAGGTGATTGTGAGCCCAGCTCAAAAATTCTGAAAATTTCTTGAGTAAAATCATTAATGACACATTTCAATAAAATTAATGTCTTTATAATTTAAATCATTGATATTTTCAAAACAAATTCTAAACAAATTATATGCATCATAATTTAAATGAATACTTATGTATAAGTTTACTTTTATGTCTAAACCCATTTATTATTTTAACAAAAAAAATATTTACAAATGAAAGAGATGCCAAGATTAAATACTAGTTCTAATATTTCGAAGTAAAATAAACAAGAATTTTTATACATAAATGTGATCGGTGATTTCTTTAAACTTCTGAATCTCAAATTTCTGAAACCTTCCGTATTGCGGTTAGAGAAAAATCCGGAAATCCCAATTGTTTCCGGAGCACAACAATTTCTATAAAGAATTTTATACTCTATGTTTATACATCATTTAACATGTTTCATATAAATTTTTTAGTTTTTTAATTAATTTTATTTTTATACATGAAAAATGACAAAAACAAATCCTTCAATAGAAAAATTACTAAACACTTGAAAAGTGACATTATTGATAGTGTGGCAGTTTTCAGTTTAATTAATTTTCCAATCATGGTGGAAAATTTTTAAAAAAATGAGTCTTTTGATAAACCACGGTTGAAAACTTACGAGCTACATGTTGATTGTGTGAATTACAATTTTTCAGTTGTGTTTATTTTTCAGTAATGGATCACTGGCGGAGAAAAACATTTCATTCACTGGATCCGCCATAGAAAAATGTTTTTTCAATTTTCACATTTGAACACAGGATTGAAAAAAGAAATCACTTGGACACTCCCACAGATGCAATGGGCACTGGAGGTTTCAAATACAAACTGGGTCATTTTACGTTTGCGAATTTTTTTTTGTTTTTTGTAAGGGGTCAAGGTGCTTGGGTATTTTTTCGAGTGGCTGTGAAGTTAATTATTTTCCCGGACTTTTTGACTACCTAATTTCCTAATTTTACCAAATGTATAAAATTCTGCAACCCATTCTTTTGCTTAACAGTCACTCTGACCATATTATGCAGGCATCTGTCTAGGTTTTTTTAAGAGATACCCATTTTGTGAAAATTTAGACATAATTTGTGGAAATTAAAAATTATATTAAAAAATCAACGCAAAAATACGGTAAAATAAGAAAATATTTTCAAAAATTGTCACTACAAATAAAAATTATTTATGACAGGTAAATTTCTATACATATTTTTCCCATGTGTTCAAAAACAATTTTGCTATTGTAAATTTTTAGGCTTAAAATTGTATCCAAATTAAAAAATCCATAAAATTGACTGTTCAAAATTAAATTTCAACAAGAATTTAATAAAAACACACAATTAACAGCACTAGCACTAAGAGTTATCTTCATTATGAGAACATTTTTCGACTGGAGAAATGTTTAAAATAATAGTTCGAATTTCCACTTTCTTTAAACTTTACAGACGGACAGCCTGGTTTTTTTATTTATGGGGAAACGACAACTAAATTTTACGAGACGGGGAGGGGGGAAGAACCTTAGAGCTTGCTCTTTTAAAACTATTTTGTGAAACTACCCTTTTCCCTGAAGTTGAACTTGTGAAAGTACTGCTAACAAATTTGCCCTGGGCAGACCCCTGTTTTGAGACAGTAGTTCATTAAAAATATTTATAAAATTCTATAATGTAGTGTTGAATTTAAAAATATTCACCTTTCCAATGATAGGCACATCAACAGAGCCCCAAGTATCAGCACCCCAATGAACTAAGCCACTCAAAAAATCAGCAAGTATCACACCACACACTATTAAAAAAAAGAAATAAAAAATGTAACACCTTAAATAAATAATGCATCAGAATTAGGCATTAGACAAAATATTCATCACTAAAAATAGAATTATGAAAATACATTAACAAAATCCAAAATAATTTTCAGAACTTTACATGATCATGATAAAATAACTAGTTTCTGACAAAGAACTCATTTCTTGATTATATTAGCCGTTAAATCATAGAGAGCTTCATAAAATAATAGAGAGATTTTTCGAGATAAAATGATAGAGAGATTTTTCAGTTCGATTTCGGAGGGTGGAAAATGAAGCTTGAAATTGAGGACATTGTGCAAAATGCAGCAGAGTTGTACATGAGAAGTTAATAATCTGATCAAACCCAGCTCAGTAGACGCACATACCGACTCACAAGTATTTCATCAAACATGTAAAATGATTGGTGCTTTCATATGCTATGGACCGTCAGTGTGCTAGAATGAATTGTGAAAATGTTGAAACGTTAGCTAAGAATAATAATAGAACAATGTGAAAATCACGCTTTTGCATATTACAGGGCGAAAATTGACATGGTAACAGAAAAAAATGTCATTTTTGAAAAGGGGAAATTAAGCACTTTTTGAAAACACTCCATGAAAAATGCACCTTTAAGGGCTTTCAAATAACGAAAATCGAAAATAAGCACTTTTTAAAAACGCTACACACCGTGATAAGTATTCCAGTTAATATTTTTCGCTCTTAAAATACTTGAGCTTGCTCTTTAATTGCCAACATTAAAACACAGATTAAACACTCCCCAAACTTAGAGGAAAAATACCCCTTTTGAGGAAAGGGAACAGTTAAATAGTATTTACTTTAAAATACTGTTAACAATAATTAAAATTACAAAATCAACATATTTGATAGGATGTATGCTGAAAATATTAGCAATCATAATTATAGGAGATATAAATAATGCGTGAAATCAAATAATTTGAGAAAATAAATTTTAGAAATATAATTACAAAAAAATATTTTACTTAAGGTAACTTTTAATAATTGCGTTACTGTTATATACAGTGAAACCTCCGTTAAGCGGACATTCATGGGACCAAAAAATTTGTCCGTTTATGAGAGTTGTCCGTTTACGGGAAGGGTACCCTAATAACGAAATTTAACACCGTAAATTGTTTTTAGATTATTCTCAAAGATGTAGAAATAATTAAATAATATCTTCAAGGATACCGTAAATATCTACAAGAATATTTATTTAAACAATAAGAAATATATAAAAGAGATAAAAAAGAAGTTTCTTTATATATTCTTTTTTATATAATAAATATAAAAAAAGAATATATAAAGAAGTTTGATATAAATACAAAATTCTGGATGTAGCTACAGATAAATAAATATAATTTTCCTATTAGCATAGAAACTCACGTTAGACATATGATACCGGGGAATTAAAAATAGACATATGATACGGGAGTGTCCGCTTTGCGGAGAATGTACGTAATGGTTTATTCATAGAAGATTCCCGGGGAATTAAAAATATGTCCGTATTGAGAGGCGTCCGTTTTGCAGGAGTGTCCATAACAGGAGGTTTCACTGTATTTGTTTTTATGATAAAAGTTCGAAAAATTTCAACAAATGCAATCAATGAAAATAAACAAATAAAATTAAGAAAAATGAAATAATAATTTACTCACCATACTGTAAAAAGAAGTTTTTAATTAAATAGAATATTTGTATAATAAAAAGAAATATTAATTAGCTAAGAATAATAATAGAAATACAGAATAGAAAAATAGAATAATAGATATATAGAATAATAGAAATAAGAATAATAGAAAATTTAATAAAATAGAATAGAAATTTTAATGAACTAATTTCTTGAAAATTGCTAATCCGTAACCATTCTGATTCCTTTTTAAAGATAAACACTTTGAAATTCAAGAATTTTTAAATATTTAAAAATATATTGATAGACTGGTTTTTATTCTTTTTGAATGTTTTCAGCAAGAAAAACTATATTGTAGATGAGGTTGAATTTCAAGCTTCAAATGCTTCGGAATTTTTAATATGCCTTATGCAAAATCTGTCAAAAATTATTCTGAATGCATAATTTCAAGATGTGCAATGCATAATTTCAAATTGATTTATATCAGGTCAACCCAACTTTTAAGCAGGGCTAGGATGTTGAAGACCTAAAAATTTATAAACAAATGCCCTTGAAGGAAAAAAAAAAACTTAATTAAATAAATGTGAAATTCGTGAATTTAATGCAAATAAACACAACGATAAATTGGAAGAATTTATTAATTTTTAATAAATAATTTCAAGAACATCAGGGTTGCATTCTGATAATTAAAAGATTGCCTTTTGTTCAAAAGTAAATTCTTACACTTTAAAAAACTATTCAACGTGAACACTTTTTGTAGGAGAATATTTAAGATAAGAAGCTTTAATGCAAAATTTAGGCTGTTTCAGTGGGAATAAATTTAATCTAAAAGTAAAGTATTCTTAAAATGAAAAATATCCTTCAAAATTCATTAAAAAAAATGGATAAAAAATTTAAGAAGTTAATTGACTTTAAAAACCACAAATAATGTCTTATAAGGGTAAAAAGAAATGTATTTATCATCATCATTCTGTTCATTAATCAGTGATACTCAAAACAAAGAGATAACTGTGATCATTTTTAAAATGACTCAGATTTATAAATGATTCTGGATTTATTTTTCTTTTAAACACAAGTCCCTGGCCATATTATTAGACGCACTATAAGATTCTATGTAAAATTATAATTATAAAGTGATACTATACAGCTTTATTATTTTTACGTAACTGAAACCGGTTTGCACTTGTTTATGTTCGTGCAATAATCCATTAATTTAGACAATATATAATATGAATTTGACAATAGGACACATTAGACGATATGCTATATAAAAATAGAATATTTATTATATCAAGTATTATATTAGTATATTATAACAGGGATGAGATTAGCCAAAAAGCAAAAAAGCTGAATTTCCACGATAGTAAATTTTACGCAAGCGCAACCCTTTAATAATAACAGTTTAAGGTAATAAATAATGTGTTGACATACAATTGTGTACTAATCTATCATTATATAAATGATTACTGTATGGAATGTACCACAAGGAAATGATTAATACTTAACATTTTTTACTGAAAATAAAAATTACCACCTGAAAAAATAAATCTGGAAATTATATTTTTCCCCAGTTCACATAAGAGACAATTATACAAATATAAATTATTATAAATTATACAAGACCAGTACACAAATACAAATCACGATTCATAATTTTTAGATCGCGTAAATACGAATCATGATGCATAATTTTTAGATTGCATAAATAAGAATTATGATGCATAATTTTTAGAATGCGTGAATGAGAATCCCAATGCCTTATTTTAAAATCACGTATAAATACGAAAATCAATGTTTGATATTATAAACCGCATGAGCAAATCAAGACATTGAATTTTAAACTTGCGAGAATCGCTACATAGGTTTTTAAAAAGGTGTAAATACGAATCACAATATCGTATTCAAATATTAATTCAATTTTCAAATATTAATTCATTAAATAAATTTAATAATTTTAGTTTTATATGATTGTAAATTGTAATTATTTAATCAAAAATAACATATTTTAAAGATAACATCAGTGATAATTTCTAACTTATAGCTGTATATGAACAAAAAAATAGTCATCAGCATAATGATAAAAGTTTGGGTTGTCGTCAGCATAATATTAATAAGTTTGGGTTGTCATCAGCATAATATTAATAAGTCTGGGTTGTCATCAGCATAAAATTAATAAGTTTGGGTTGTCATCAGCATAAAATTATTTTCGGGTTGTCATCAGCATAATACTAAAAGTTTGGGTTGTCATCAGCATAAAATTAAGTTTGGGTTGTCATCAGCATAATATTAATAAGTTTGGGCTGTCATCAGCATAAAATTAATAAGTTTGGGTTGTCATCAGCATAAAATTATTTTTGGGTTGTCATCAGCATAATACTAAAAGTTTGGGTTGTCATCAGCATAA